ATATATATATATATATGATGAGAATTCCAAAGTGGGCGACAGGTTAAGCCGGAGCGTTCTTGAATAAGAGGTTCGTGCCCAAAACGGAGTTCGGTGGTACACTCATTGTACATGTTCTCTAAGTTGGTGAACAAAGCCCCGTTAAGTTAGAACTTGTATTCGTCAGACATTTCAGTCCGTCGACTTGATGTTCTAGGGATAAAGGCTACTACCGACTACCCGGTCAATAAGCGTGCTCATTTAGTTGCAACGATCGATGTACGTAACGCTCCTCCATTTGAACCGGGTTCAAACCAAACTCCTGTTTGGTGGGTTCGAACCACTGGTTTTTAAAATACACAAAGAGACAGGCTCGAATGAGACCCCTGTTTTACCTACCGTCTCAGAGCACGAGTCCGACCAAAATTTGTGACCACTCTATAAATTTTCCGAGTGAAACATTGCCGATCTTTGTTTATCACTAAGTTGTTTGGAATTATGCTTTCCTTGAATTCTCCACAGTCGGTGGGGGAATGGTACTTTTCAACCAGGCAATGTATCTGAAACGCGGTATGTTCTGGTCTAAAGTCCTTCAGAAAATACGTTCTCGTACGTATCTTTGATTCGCACTGCCATTTTCTGAATGATCTCGTATTGTGAGAGTCGATGGTGTTTAATCTTGATGTGCACTTGAATATGCGCTTTCTTTTCAATAGGAAACATCAGTTGGCCGTGGCGGGAGAAGCCATTTTTCGTTTTCGCCAGCAGTTTGTCACCGTTAACCACAAGAAACGTGGTCAACAGTCACTTGTTTGCACCTCACATATGCTAATCAGACTGACCGATGCGACACATTGAGTGTTATGCTGAACATTCCGTGATCCTCAAAAAGGATCTGATGGATGCCAAATCCTAGACTCGGATTCAAAGATGGAAATTTTGAAGACTGGTTGTGGTTTGTCCTGAGAAGCAATTACATTCACTGTACTGGCAAGTCTGGTTAGTCATCAACATGGTTTTTCTGTCAATGGCGTGAAGTTCCCGGCCAAAGGGAAAAACTACCAACCTTTAAATATCCATCTGACCAGTCCCAGGTAGAAATAAATGCATATGGATGATTTTCCATGATTGGTCACAATCTGTTTTAGGCGCTAGTGGTTGCGGGATTTTGCAGAGTGCATACTCACATGACTCTCGTTTGAACGATCGTCCTCCTGTCCTGGCGCAATCATTCTGGTGACTCCACACCAAAGGTGGAGGGGAACCCTGAACTGAAGTTGCGCTCTTATTAGAGCTCATCAGCAATCTGTTTCGCCTACCAACATGCCCAGGTTCAAAGGCCCGAAACCAATCAGATTCATGAGGATTGTGAAAGAGCTCGGGTTCTTGAGTCGCTAGAGTTTCGCGAAATACCAGGAATTTCAGTGATTGTAATGTGGAATTCGAAACGATCTTTTCAGATTAATTGGGCATTTCCGCCCATCAACAGACACTTAGATGAAACAATAAATGTCAAATCCCTGTGGCTAACTTATTGTTGGGAGGTGAGGAAACACGTATTTATGTGCCGAACCATGAAGTGGTCACAAGGGTTCCGACTAAAAGTAATTAATAATGAAGATATGGCAGATCAGCCGATGGGAAGTGAATGTAACGCGAATCAAAATATGAGAAAGCCATTGACGAACAACCATGCCTCTCAGAAAACTGGAAAGCAATCTGTATACGACCCTTTAGTAGAGTCTCGTATTCGGAAACTACGAGTTGTGGTTCCCGTCTATCAACGTCACTTTCATTCGATTGAGGCCTCTGGGGGTTTACGGCGTTAAACGCCATTATCCACGAGGACTCTGATGATGGGAACAACCATAAGTTGAACAACAAACAGGCAATTTAATTCCAGCTTCGATATCACGTCTAGTCACTAAAATCTTCGTAGTAGAATTTGAGAGATTCTATCCCAAAATTCACTGACTCTAGTCCCAAGGCACATGCTCGCTGGGACATTGCAACCTTGAATGAGGAGGCTTGGTGACAGTGATGCTATTCGCTTACACACTCCACCCACATCACTAGGGGCTTAGAATATCGATTAACTCAACTAAACAGCCAATCAGGGGAAAGCTTATGTGTGGTAAGGTAGTTCAATGGGACGTTGGACTATCCAGACAGCAACGCAGTAACTTGAACTCAGGAAAAATCAACATGAAGCAACTTTGAACCTCGGCCGCTTCCAGGTTGTGGTGGCTGAATTTGACAGGGCCAAACGGGTTCAACGATTCTCGATTGCAGGATTGTGAAGATTTTAGACCAATTTACCTGCAGGCAATAAATTCTAGGAGATTTTCCTCAGTCATTTACTTTACACACACGTACTCTACACGTACGATTACTGAAAACCTCCAAATATATATATTAATAGTGCCATCTTTTCCATCGCTGTTGAATACGCTTGCTTAGCAGTGTTCAAACCTAATTAATTGCGTCTTCGATAAACGGTTAGCAAAGACCGAACGGGTCACCGAATTCGGAATGGGACAGCAGCTGAAAACCATTGAAAACAAGTGCGTTTTTACGTACCCGTTCGACCAACTCCAGCAGAACAATGTACAACAATTGGGCCTTGTTCGATCATGTTTGAATGGCCAGTGTTTGACGATGAAGTGTTCGCTCCAGAGGCCACAGTAGCTCGGATTCGCCGAATGAATAGTAAGAGAGGAACTGGGTATTCTGGTACCCCGTGGTCCGGCCAACTTGTGAACTGAAAGTGTTTGACCTCACGACATTCGTCGTCGATTCCACGAGCAGTTAGGTTGAATGTCCGGATCGTGTAGTAGGCCAATTCGATTGTGTCCACCGGTGTCACCGTAAGAAGTCCTCCCGCATATGCTTCCGGACCTCTGGTGGGCCAATACTGATCACATTTAATACGTGCACGTTCTTCCAGTCGTGTCATCATAACAATGATGAAAACACGCTGCTCCCAAATCATGCGCCAAAAATCCGAATATGTTTCCGGCATAGGACCCTGAGATAAACGAAACGAAATCGATGAAACTCCGTGGATAACATCAACATACGCTACGCATGCTAACAAAACTTTTGTGGGCGGGGGGGTATTTGCGAAATCTCAAGGGCGTTCAAACAACTGTCTCTGTTGTGACAATACTTAGATGGCGGAGAAATTCGCTTCTGTCCTTTAAATTATTCATATAGAATTACAATCATATTGGTAGGTGAGTTAAGCTAGAGTATATGTTCCATTTTTTCTTTGGAAAGGCAATCTATAAGAAACACAGCGCACAACGAAAGTGTACATTTCAGTTCACAGCTTACGGGATATTGCATTGCATAACTCCAAGACCGACTCAAGCGGTGTGTCTCTGTACTGGTAAACAGCATGCCATCTACACATTCCTGTTGTGACGCTGTGCACTATGCTTACGTGATCTGAGTTTCAACTGGTCATGAGAAGAGACGCATTTGAGTACAGAGTTATCCCTCGGGTGAACATGAACCAAGTGGTTACAACCTATCAGATACAAAATTAGGAGTCTCACCTGCACAATGTTTTGTAAAAAAAGGTTAATATTGTCAAGCGTCTTCTTGAAGTTTCTGAGACGCTCTTTCACCACTAAACAACGATAGAAACATAACAGAATGGCTCAATAGTCTCCAAATCGACCTTCCCTCAGATGCATAAGCGGTAACGTGAAGCACTTGAACTGATAGTGTAACGGTGATATTACTGATGGGGAGGCATGCGAGTAGTATGTGTTGTTCGTGGAATTTCGCTTTGTGTCTCTTGAAAAGAGATCTTTTGCGGAATTTGTGGAGCCACTTTGTAACATTTGCTTGGATTTGAGCAAAGAATGATTGGAGTCAATGAATATCTAGGAAAGTTCAAGAAGACGCGTTTAGGAGAAGATGGATGTCCAGTTTTTGTAAATAAGATGCAAATGAGTTTTGCTTCCCTGTCCAAAAGTCTGTAACCGGTCAGTTAGCATTTCCTAATTAAATAGCTCCGCAGCGAAGGCCTTCTTTCTTTCAATAGCAGTCACACGTTTCATCAGTAGCCTAAATCGTTACATCAATAGATCATAGCAATACTGCTGAATTGCCGCTCACTGCTGGAAAACGCCACTTATTGATCACAGTTTAATTTGTATTCCTCCTCTAGGACTGAACCTATGGTGGAGATATAGTTTGTCGTGCACTTTCAATGCCCTATCGGGTCGGAACCATGACGGAAATGAAAATATTTGAATTTTTGTAAGTGCCAGATGGACGTAACATATGATGCATCATCACGGATGCGACTGGTGTTTGGTGACTACCATATTTTATAAGTGAAAGGTAGCTGAGACACCGAATGCTGCCATCTGGACTCTTATTCTTTAAGAAAATTCAAAAAAATCACACTGAGAAGCCACTGTGGTTCACCCTGACATAATTTTCCCAACGTTTCCGAGCTCGTTGCCACTTACTTGGGTTGCTATATAAGCATTAGGGCGTTTGTATCCATCGATGTAATTTGCATTGATGTAGTCCGATCCTGGTACACAGTCGATTGATTGTAAAATGACCCGTGAATGGTCATAAGCAATCACATTGGCATAACGGTTCTTTGGCTTGTTTACCTCCATGTTGGCGTGCTCCCAAGTAAATTGTTGTTCCGTTTCTATCGATTCGTATTCCTGAGAGAAGAGTAGATTATCTGCTGCGGACAAACGGGCCACATGATCTGGGAGGCAGCTGATTGGAATCGGATGTTTCATTGGAGGACCTTGAAGTAAAGTAGGGGAAGTGAGGGGGTGAGAGGCGGATGCAGCCGTTTATCCTAACATTTCCCTATTCCTTGTGGTGTACGAAATGCATTGTGAATGCAGTACAAAAAGAATGTAGCTTATTTTCTGTTACCCCGTGTTTAAACGTCGTGTCTCTATTCTGTACTCCCACATCGTGCAGGTCTTGCACCGCCTTTTGTGAATCTGCAACATGGACAACGGATGTTCCTCAAACGGTGTCTCGATAAGACTCACTAACAGATGACGTATCGATCAATAATATGGAACACCAATTGCCTACATGCTTAGCAGGCTGAAGGAAAAAACTCAACCAAAAAGGTGAAGTAGTATAACATTGTGTTAGAAACCACCAGAATGTAAAGGTCACTGGACAATGTACGCACTTAAATGGGTAAGTTCCACTGCAGTGGACCGCAAATCCATCGACAAGTAACGAACATGAATTGTGTGTTCGGCTGCTCAAATTTTCTAAGCTCTCTAACCACACAGTAAGTAGACGGCAAAAATTCCGTAGACACTTAGCTCAGGGGATGCGTGTATCAATGTTGTTCATCGATTCATCCCCACATCGACAAGCAATAAAATACGGTGTCGGATGAGTTGCAAAAAAGTACTTGTCTGAAAAGCTGTACCTTAGTAATTTAATTTGGCCTGTGTAGGCAGTCACAAAAACAAGCATTGCAAAGATACCTGAATATGATTATTTTCATAGTTGGTGAAAAAGAATTTGTAATGGTCTCTGGACAGCCACAAAGAGCTGGCTGAACAGATTCTGGCTCCAATGGTAGTCAAATATTCACGTTCTTCTTGGAAATTGCATTGCGTCCTTTTTTTCTCCGGATATGCATGGACGCGATGGATGCGAAACTGTTAAACTGAGTGTTCATCTTGCTACATCGATGCAAGAGAGGCCCTGAACAAGAGTTATTGAATATAGATTTTCGACTTTCCTCCATGAGACATTTTTACCCCCAGAAACATACGGTCTAGAGTCCACGTTCAAGATACGGATGGTAGTTTGAAAGATTGGAGGGGCTAGGCAACCTGCTATTTGTCGTTAGATCATTTGAACTTCGGCTAAATTAGCATAAACATCCACCTTTAACGTTGGAGACTGATCGTCATTTTGCTATGCAAAAGACAACATCCAGATCTAGTTTCTTGTTTACTATGGTTTGCTTCTAGTGCTCTGATTCCAGCACCAGTAATTGTGCTGTGGTGTGCTTGACTATCACTGTTGGAATCAGTTGTGTATCAGGTTTCCAAAGCCGTGTGATCTGAACCACGGATGTTCCAAAGCACTCGCTTTTGTTTGGTGTTGCCATGTCATAGCTTGTGCCCGTGAAATACCCACCCCTCAATGTTCGGAATGGAAGACGTTCCTTCTGTAGACAATGGTTAGACGTGCGTTGTACGTGTTCCATCTGCCTAAACTTGCTATGACTTACTTGGCGCTCAAGAGACTCCAACTTCCACCAACTACTGACTTACACAACACTTGCTCCCGCAATGCGAGACGGTTGAAGTCTAATGGGACAGAAATCATGTTAAGGCGGGTAGAGCTTGAGCTGGAAACCCTAGACGAAAGCCATGCTAAATTTTATTCTTTCCCAAACATCCCGCACGACAGTATGGGTGTTCACCGCAATTCGGTATTTGTTGTAAAGTAGGACGCCACACAAACTGTGACTAAGTCAGGTATGATTAGAAATTTTGTTCATAGCCACCCAGATTTCGTCCGAACGGTCGGGCTCCTGTTCTGGCGTAATTATTCCGGTGGGTCCACACCAAAGGGAAGCACTGGACTCGAGTTTCGCTCTTATTAGAGCTCATCAGCACTGCGTATCCAATGGCCGTGCCGGGATTTGAACCCCGGACATCTGACATGCGAGGCGAGCACGTAACCACTTCTCCACCAACGCACGTTGGGCGCATAAAATGCCTAAAGACGGTAGTAAAACGAAAATAAACCACGTCTCAACCTAAATGACACCAATTAGGTCACAGAATACTTGCAACATTTTGTTTTAAAGCAACAAACGAAATTCGAGCCCATGACTTGGTAGTTGCTACGCCCAATTTAGACTGCCCGTGGTCAACCGGCGAACTGTTGGGACTGCTGTTCGGGGGGCTGCAGATTTGGGACTCCCTGAAGTTTCGTGAGATGCGCGCACTGGCGATGATTTTCAACAAGGATGAAAGACCTGCACGGTACTTCTCAGCTTTTCAAGATAGACTAACCTCATTTAAAGGACGAAATCTGGAGTGAAAAATTCCGAAATCTCCTTACACCATGAAGAATGTGGGTATGACTTGTTTCGCTCTGAGGTGCTTGCACGATGAAGCAACTAGTAAGTTTATCGTATTCCACGGACCCCATGTACGCATTCGGACATGGCGGTGGTTATTCCTGCCACTCATTGCCGTGAGTGTGAAGGAAATGGCGTAGTCTAACAAAAGAAACAAATAACTCGAATGTCATCATGAGATAGCGTAGCGTATTTTCTACCGAATGAATCCACTGGACTGACTGAATTGTTACCCTAATTATAACGGAAACTGAGAAGCCGCTGTACAAACCTCTATGAGTGAGATGCTATTGTGAAAATTGAGTGGATTACTGTTGACCACAATGTCCTCTGGAAGCCTGCGAAACATTTAAAGGCGAAATGATCAGGATTTTTCGTTGGAAACTTCTCCACTGAAACGAATAAACCCAAGTCTTCCTCTGGTTTCACTATGCTTATTTCATATTTATTTTTGATTTTACGCCACCTCGTTTAGTTCACTTTCCTGTAGACTAAATTTTCAGTAATGACCTTTCTGATGCCCACTTTTCGGCGCCCCCCTTTCGAAAGTGCCACACAGATCCCATACACATGGCTACTACTACAGTGAGAGAACAAAGTGAGAAAGGGCGTGACGTTTACGCAAGTAGACGTTCTTTTGCGGAGAGAACCGAGACAGGACTGCACGTATGAATGCAATAGTATCTTGCTTGGTGAGCTACATGAACCGAGGTCCTGATGTGCACCAACCCAATATCACTATCACTAATTACTTATCATTTACTTCAGTCCGCTACTTATAACCGCTATCATGTCTTCAGACTTGTACACACTTGCCCAGAAAGTAACCTACGTAACCAACTTGAGGCTTAGATTATCGGGAGCCAAGATCCAGTCTGTAGATCCAGGATGACGTGTGCAGTACTGTGTTGACTGTCTGTTCTTCCCTTCATTACAAACCCGAACGGTCTATGCTTTCCCGGCTTGTGTGAATGTTATGTAGATGACAAGTTGTGCCACTGGAATTTTTCTCCCCAAAAAGACACCTTGTGGCGCCAGGTGATTTTTTTATGGTATTGTATAGATCAGATACCAAGGTCGTCGGCACTCCCACAAGTTGGGTTTGAGAGTCAGTCCAACTATGAAGTTTTACTTGAGGGAAGATGTTCAAACAAATAGAAAGACATAGTTACCGTGTGCCAGCTACAATGCGTTCCGACTAGCGTAATGGTTCCCACACTTTGGTAATGCTTCAGTTCCCATAGGATAGGGAAAATTACCAATTTTTCAATCGAACTTTTGCAACTAGTGGGGCCTTGTAAACAAATGACGACGAGGACAATAGCGGAATATGGTAATATGGATATGGTGTTGCTCATACTTCTGCTCGCACAAACAGAAGTATCCAAGTTGACCCCATAACCTACATAGCACGATATTCTTACCATCATTTTCTGACCAAAAGTATTGACGCACCGTTATCGTAGACTCCATGGGGCAAATAAGTTTGCGAAATCTAGAAAACTAAGCCTTGTATTACTAGGTTCTTCCCCAGATATGTAAGAACAGCGCTTAGTTTTGCCAGGCCAGAAGCTGTCACCTTGAGAGTGTGTTCAGGCTTAGGGTTGAAATGTCTGGTACTCTGCTGCCCTAGGTCTACCCATGAAACCAAAGCAAAAGAATAACAGGGGAAGGATTCTTCCTGCTTAGAGGTGGTCTGGGATCAATCTGTACTGTTTTCTGCTGCAGGAGTGCCAACGCATTAACACTGCATTGTTATGACAAGCATATCCATAATTATGGAAACAGCAGTCCTACGTCCCACAGACGAAGGACGGGTTAAAAAGGTCGGCCCGATCGCCAAATGGTTGACAGCAAGCACCAACAAGCTATCTAACACAGTTGAAAAAAAACGAATAAAAAGCTACCGAAAACCCGGTGCGACCCCAAAAATATCTCTGCCTGGATAAGCGGAAAATATTGCTTCGATTGCTCCGCTTTTGAAAATCGATCGACTAATTTAGCTTCTGGTACATTCAAACTACTTTCGCATTATATCGACTGGTACTACATCTACAAAACGAACGTGAGATCTCAGATCAGTTATGTTCTTCAAACTTCTCGGAACGGGTCCAGATATGTTCATTAATCCTATCATTATCTGATTATCTTGATACACTGGCTCGCGGTACTTATGGGCTTAGGTGGTAAGTCAGATTTACCACAACTATTCAGATCAGCTAAACATAAAAAAATTTATTTTTGCGGACGGAGTGAAGTTCTACCAAGGCCGGAGGTGTTCAGCCCACGGACAATGGAAAACGTGTAGGTTCAGCAAGGGTGTTTGCTAGCTATCTCGCGAAGGTCACCAAGCACGAACCAAACGTGAACTCAGTTGTTTCACGTGGAAAACAGTCAACTCTGTAGAACTTCCGGGGTGCATAGCCAGATTTGTTGAACAATTTCAGGAAAACCGTGATTGCGAAACATCGCTACCGTAGTTCGACAGTGTCAGGCTTAACTGGTTGTTAAACTGTTGGAAATTCTCCGAGGGTCAATTTCAAGAAGAGTCCGAGAAGCAATGCTCTTAGAACTATCTGCTCGAGCTATTCGACTCAGTTGAATGATCAAGAATACAGATAAGACTGACAGTTATTCATAAGGATGCATGAAAAACCAAATAGGCAAGAGCCGAGGGAAGGGCAGTGGGCTGGTGGATGGGACAATCCCGGGTAAGCAAGGTTTTCGGAACTGAAAATACTGATGACTTCTTTCATTAGGTTTGATAACCAGACCGTAGACAGATGTTAGCAAAACCATTTGCGCAGAACACTACCCAACATTTCCCACGCAAAATTGTTTAAGCGATTCATTGAAATCTCGGCTAGTCGTTCTTGAGGCAATTACTCATAAATAGGATGTTGAATCAAACTTGAAATCAGCAACATCAGTTCAAGTCTCGTCAATTGACGAGAAAGAATGTTTTCTGAGGAGCATGTTGAGTTCTTCCGCCCATGATAGTATATTGCTGGCAATTTCATAGGGAAAAAGGTGCTCGAGGAGCGTCATTCTTTGCAGTAAACAGCAGTCGTCGTTGTACCTGACCTGCCTTCGACACGTTCGAGCACGCGAAACTTTGTGAGTGTCTGGTGTCTCCACTAAACTTCTACCTCTTACAAGAGCACTGTGCACTAGTGAGTTAACTGTATATTACGGGCTACGTTCCCCACGTCCAGTGAGTTCAAATTAAGCAGTCTCCTCTCACCACTTCTCTTCAGGTTTTCAATCGGTCTGTATGGGAAACTGCTCATGTCTGTTAGAATCATCAAATCAGAGATGCCGAGGAAAGTCAGCTATTTTTTGGGAAAAAATCTTTCGCAATAAACAAACTACGTACATACAATAGATTAAGCTGGTTCCGTCATGTGCATTTTATGTCACATGATCATCTACCTGCCGACGCTCCCTTGATCATTTCTGCATCTAGTGGGTAGACAGTTTATGACTTGGCAGTATCTCAGCCGGGTTGTCAGCTACTAGCTTATTGGAAGGGTATTCCAGGACGCGGCACACTAGTAATAATTAACATGAACCAGTCACGCAATTGATGGCGGTCCAGCTAATGAGCCATCACCTTCAACGCATAACTGTCTCACCTCTCACTTCATCAGAAAATTTGGACACTAATTCCCCGGTTAAGCCATCATTCCCAATGCGCAGCAGTTTATTCCCGCTCTCCCATTAATCGTAAAAAAGACATTGTAGATAGTCTGTAACAAATATGCCTTGCTGCATGCTTTATAGCCCAATAGTAATGATAATACTGATAATGGTGGTACCAATAATAACAGTAAGTGACTGAGTACCGTAGAATCTATGGTCATCAAGAATATTAATAATTAATTGATAATTATTAATTAATAATTATTGATAATTAATTAATGATAATTAAAACAATATTACCTACATAAAGGAAAATAATAACAAGTTTGCTGAAAACCCTTCGACAGCCAACAACAAGTTTTGCTCTTCTTGGGGCTCATCAGGTAGGCGCAGTCCCCGAGTTTTCGTCAACCTTATGTTCTACCCAACTTGGGGACTGCGCTAAGAAGGGCGAAACCGGTCGTGGGCTGGCTGTGAGTTTCCAGCAACCTTTTGAGTAGTTTCCTTTATGAAAATATACTGCGATTTCTCTAATATCGTGCCAACTGAATCATGAGGCGACCGGTATCCTTCTGTCCCGGCGCAATTATTCTGGTGAGTCCACACCAGAATATGATACTAAGTAAACAGACTGCAACTGTGTGTTCGGGGTTTCGGACAATTCACACTCAATGCAAATCTCAGCGACTGCGTTTAAGCCACTTGCCAATTTTTCACACTTAACGGGATGTGTGGTATCCAGTTTGACATGAATAAGGATAAAATTTTTTCTTAGTTCTGACCTCAAAGAACTGAACGTAAATGGCAATAGTCACAATGGCACATCGCAAATTTATGAATTCACTCAGTTATCCCGTATCCCAACGAGAAAATATTTTGCCATTTGAAATCAGTGACCCTGCATTCGCTCTCTTTACTTACATATGTACCCGTGATTAGACCTGAAGATTTCAACACAAACGGCGTGTACGTAAAACATACCTTTGGTCTCAAGTGCCAACGGTTGCATATCAAACATTTGGTCTTGGCCTCCATCATGTCCCGGCAGACGGTTACGTGCAATAACAAGGCCATCGCAGATCCCTCCTGATTCTGTCCCATATGTCAGACCGGAATTCAAGTTTGACCCTGCCCCTCCTCCACTTCCGATGGCGCTTGGGGGACCGGTTATGGAACTCGGGTGACTGCCAGCATGACTACTAAGTGTCCCACACCGCATACTGTTTACAAATGGGCTCAGTCCTGGATGCATATTTGTGTGAATGTTGGTCAATTCTGGATAGGCACCAGTTTGAGGATGCATGTGCTGCATTGGTACGCTACACAAGTGACCTGAAGTTTGCTGACTAAGGCGATCCATTCCAGTCATCGGGCTCCCCGTTCCAGAGGTGGCCAGTCCACTTCGACCGGCTGTAGTGATGGAAGAGAACAAAGAGGGATGTGTAGGACCCATTGGTGGTGAAGACGGAATTACATGACTTCCAGGAACACTACTATGCCCTGTTGCGTAGCTATCCCGCTTATCTTCCAGTAAATGTGTCGAATTCTGTGCACTGATGTTCGACGCCATCAGATCGATTCCGCTGGTAACCATTGTCAAATTGGTCCCGTTCGGAGCACCACAATCGTTCATCCGCATCAAAGGTTGCTTCATGCTAGGATCGTTTGAACCCATATGATTCATTAGTTTCGGACGTCGCCTTCGACTGTGTTGTGTTGAGGAGAGAGAGAGAGAAGAGAGAAAAAATGCTTTATTTTATTCTGATAACATATGTAGAGAGCTTAACACTGTTTGGAAACCTATGAAAAGGACCATGAGGTAAACATAAGTAACAATAGAATTCTGCACAAGTATGCATTTCAAGGCTGTTTGAATTTCTTCATCAATTCTTAAAGTTACCCATCTCTAGTCTTTTCACAGGAAGTAGCTTTTTGTAAAGAGCCTTCTTCTACTGATTTTTAATGCTTCGTGTAGCTCGGGTTTGAGGCCACACGGCAGTAATTGGATTAGTCTCTACGAGCTATGAAATTACTTGACACTAGAACAGATGCTTGTATGATTGGGCTAACAGGAACGAAAACAAGATACTAATGATATTACATATAGATCACTTTTTTGGAAAAAATGCCCGAAATTTTTGGTGCTAAAATATGTACTCTGATGCGAGAAGATGCATAATGATGAGACATCCATCTGGTCCGATCCTCAACACTGCAAACCTCGCTGTCCATATGCAACGGTGTTTGGGGAAAAATGCCTTTATGTGGTCTGAAACCTTGAGCAGAAAATTGGTCAAGTGTCCGATTTCTCCAATGCCACTGTTTCAGTCGGTGCAGCATTGAAAATCAGCTTTCTTGAACAGTGTTACCGTGCACAATGCAATCTGTTACAATTCTGGACAGTTTTCTTTAATCTCATTTCCTTTTTATAATCTGGGGACTCGCGCTATAAATTTTGTTCGCAGGGATGAATTTCTTGTGTCGTTTACCAGTGTTTCCGTATCACTCCAAGTACCTGAGTGCAGCTCTCCCCTACTGGCCCCAACCCGTCGGCAGTTGTGTTGAACGAAATCCCGACATCCAATGATGTAACCGCAATATCAATAAACTCGCTAACATACAGCATCGGTATCTGTATTTTGTTGTTCGGTACAGGAAAATGCGCGGCTCCTTAGGTGCGCAATGTCAAGGCAAGAGATCCTTCCGTTTTCAATGTCGTGTGAACTGCAACCTTCGTCAAGCCAGTTTGTTTTGAACTGCTCCCACAAATCGATCGTATCACGCGTCTCGTCGTACATCGCGCCAGCCCGTTAGACAAGAGCAATGAGCTCCACTGTAGCTGCGTATCCGTCATGCGATCCGCAGAGCAACTGCTGTCGCTCGGCCGACCCAATGAGCTTGCAACATTAAGTTTACAACGCTACTAGAGTTGTGAGAATGTGGGTCTAGAGCCATGTTTCAATGCGCGCACTGAACGGGACTGTCAACATAGTCTTACGATATTCGGGTCATTTAGAGGGTAATACAGTGACGTCTGGATCACTGAAACCGGTAATTTTTGCCTAAAAGCGAAAGCACTGCGGAGCACGTCTGAATCATGACTATTGACCTCACGGAATAAACTGGCGAGTGTTTGTAGTCGTCATGACTATGACGGTCGGACTGGTCAAAACTAATCGTAACCAAACGGTCGATTTTCGACCAATTCCCTTGACCACTTTGACGTTTCGCTTAACTCTTGGCTTATCTGGTAGACGCGTTGACAGGCTTAGGATCCACCTACGTTGATGTTTTCAATGATGTTTAACAGACTGACCGAGTTTGCAGCTCGGTCCAACGGATACAGCCCATCTGGGAATAAACCATCAATACTAGACATGAAGAATGTCTTACTGTGCAAAATGTCAACCTGGAAATTCCGCTAGAGTTCAACACCTCGAGTTGGTGACAGGAAAATACCTTTCAGCTTTGACGGACATCACTTGCTGGACTGAAGTGGACATAAACTTAAGCCGTCTTTTTGTTAGGTTTTTACTCTTAAACTGTGGGCATTTCCATCTAGTGTGATGCTTAGCGTGGAAACAGGGTAGATGAGATAAATCCTGGTAATAGAAATGACGCATCGGTGACATCCAGCGGCCGGTTCAACGTTGAAAACCCATTGGAATGACTATATAATTACCCGCAAAAACCTGTAGCTCCATTTGGTTGATTGCACAATGATTGGTGAAGAATTTACCGGAGATAACAGCGGATCGGTCTATTTCCCTGTAAAAAGTTGTATTTTAACGAGAATTCATAAGTCTATAAGTTTAGAAAGTAGTCAGTTCACTTATTGCTCGGTCGAATGGTTTTCAAACCTTTCTGTAGTGACAAAATGTTCGATAGTTTCCGTTTTGTCCACCTTGGTGACAAATTCGACCTCTCCGGTTAGCTCGCCGTAACAAAGTTTATCTGGCCATTTGAATCTATGAGTAACAAATTTCCCTAAACCACGAGGACACTGGAACAGCTCTGCTTCATGAATTAGACTGGGATTGACAAGACGAACGCCTACGAAACATTTTTGCCGTTTGCAGTGTGGACAGCGGATCGACAATGACTCATTGATAGTATAAAGAAGTTTAATGGAGATTTTGTCCTCTAGAACCACTATGCAGCTGCTTCATTCTTATTTGAAATCATCGGGAGTGCGCATCTCGCGAATTTCCAGGGAGATTTGAGTGTCGCTATATTCTAAGTGAAAGTTAATTACACCACTAATTTGTCGCTCATGGCCGAACGGCTTAGTTTTCAACTTTTCGCTAAGAGGTTACAACTTCAAATTCGTGAGGGGTGTACTGGTAATGAGTTCTAAAAGAGATGGAGTGACTTTACAGTGCTGTCCAGCACAGATTAACTTAATTTGCTTGACTTGCTTGAAAAATTCTAACTAAAAATGTGCTTTGTTTCTAGATCTGGACTGCATTTTCTGAGCAGATAGTAGGTTGCTTTGTGTACAGCAGTGTATATAATTCATATACGGAAGACTTCAGATTTATGTTAGTTACATAGTCAGATACTCCCTATAAATATCATGATATTTGTAATGAAGTCGGTCATAAACGCCATTATTTCATGTCCATCTCAACCACTGGTCTCCACCACGAGTTTCTCTGACTGACCTAAAGCGTAAATGAACATAGCAAATGCTTTATTGACCCTTTGAGTTTTAAGCCATCCGAAACACCATCTGAAGTAAGAGTAGCTCCGTTGTTCCGGTTGAAATCTTAGATTTGATGAATCACAGACAAAAAGATCATTCTGATTGGCGTAATCCTCGAGTCTTCAGTTTTCAAGTTGCGAGATGGATAATAGGTGTTTGATTAGATATAATGACCTTGACTCATTGATATTTAAACACTTATATTTCTGTTATTACTACGTTTCACTACACTGACAGGTATATCATTGCGCCACCAAAGATGTTACGCTATGTGTATATTCCAAACCCGAGTTATAACATTAGCTTGGCACGGTGACGCTACGAAAGAATACCCCATCGGATCACACAAAATATATTCAGTATGACAATTTGTCAGGGCAGTCCCTCGGTGATGAACCACTAACAAACTCGAGGTATCTGTTACTTCACCCATTGGCCCCACACTGTGAAAATTTCATCTCTGATGTGCGCATAAATTTCTCTTCTGTGCTTGGTGTTTTTCGTCGGGGGTAAGCTTCCGGTGGTAAGCGTCAATTAACCGCATTTCCTGTATGGTATCAGGGTGTTTTGATTACCGCGAATGGTTTGTAATACCTCAGTGTCACCACCGTCACCTCGTCTAATGATTTATACAAAACTGGTACTCTGCGCTTTGCAGGTGAAAACATCGGTGTGATTAAAGTGCTAGCGACTAGGCATAAACCAATCATTGCAAGTACTGAAGGGAAATTCCAAACGGTGTTTTGGAACCATCCACTTGGCTTTTGAGGCGATCACCATTCAGTGCATGACATTGTGCCACAAGGACTACTGTAGTTTATTCCTAGTGAAATGCCTGTGTTGACAAATGCTCTTTTGTGTTCGCAAGAGGTATAATCTACACCACATATCATAACTGAGTTCACTCAACTGTCCATTAACAAAGAAAGCGTACCATTCATGTTGGTTGTTGGTAATGGCACACACTTCACAGTGAAAAAATGGATGACTAAAGGGAATCAACCGTTGCCACGCATTCACTCCACCGCGACATCGACAGATGGACGTACTGAAAACTTCGCTACTGCGCCACTTATTCGTTGATTCCAGCGTCGCTTTTTTATCGGGACTAAGGATTAAACAATATCCCAATGCAGTTAGTAAATATGGGCCATGCAAACTGAGAAGAGTCCTGTACGGCTACTTAAATCGTGTCATTTCAAAAATAGTCTGCAATGAATTCCGTAACCGGAGAGTCAATGGATATCAGTTTGTGATTGATCATTTGCAGTGGCGCCCCATCGGACAAGTACAGCGGTAAAGTAGAAGGCTAGTTCAAAACATCGTACAGTGCTCCCATATTCTTGGTAGAAATACAACAACAATAGCTGCTCAGTAATGGGTAACTTTGAGTGCTGCACCGAGGCAATGTGAGAGCTTTCACGTTTGTTTTACTGGCAAGGAGAGTTTTTAAAAGCATTCTTGGGAAATGGTCTTGGACCGATCTTTCTCTGCTCGAACAATTACGGTAATTGGGTGGCCTGTGTAGATAACGCTTCTCAAGTGCTTGTCTGCTCTCGTTTTACGACAAACGGATAAATGCTCATTGATTCTCTGCGGCAAGAGTCGTGTCGCTTGAGTCACATAGTTTGCGGGGACATTTGGAAACAAATAGAAGAGGAATGGTGGACAAACCATCGGTCACTGCCGAAGTGTGCCCTAATTTAAGTTAAATCAAACATCCGCCTTGGGAATGCGGTTGGGTAATGGCTGTGTTGACTTCAAACAGCAACTGAATGTATATGAGTGTTCTGGCGAATATTGTACTTCTTCTGCTAATTGATATTGGCTCCAATATCTCCGTACGAACTGGTCCGGTTAACCATTCTAGTTTAGAGTTCTCCGAATGACCTGCAGTTCAACATTCAGTTTGTCAATTTGACAGACTTTACGGGCTCCGCGGACCAGGCATCAAGTTTAATATGTCCGAAGTAATAATCTCTAATCTGCGAAGAAAACCATTTTAGTATGAAAATGTAACCAACGAATTCACTCCTTGATCTAGATGGTATTACTCAGGTACACTATCTATAATGACCACGTCAACTTAAGTTTACAAGATCAGCCTTCCAAAGTACGCTGTTAGTTGTTTTACCAATGTATGTACGTTAAATAATGCTGCTTCGAACTAAATTCCGCTTCCATGTGGTGAAAAAACCATTGTAACATATTAGAGACTACAGTCATCATTGTCAAATCAAGAACATGCCGAGAAGCATCTGAGTGTTAGTGGACGTGACGACGCGGACAAGTTGTAAATCTAGCTATTCTGTTTGTATTGGCAGAGTGTTCCTTGGTTCTGGAATGTGGATAATTTCAACCATACTAAAATACTGTAATATGCGCATTATGAAGCCTAGTTCCGTTGGACCAAATTAATATGCACCGTGCTAGAATAACACCGCGGTTGGCTTTAAACTCTTGCAGGGAATCCTAGTGGAATTTCATTTCGATATCTGTTTGAAGATAAATTGATTTAACATGAGACTTATCTTCTGAGCTTAGCCCATTATCTATGTAAGTTTGGCTGCCCAAACCGACTTTTAATTAGCCTGTGGTGACTTGCACTGACAAGTAGTTTCTCTCATGTACTGGGAATAAATGGGCTTTGTAATAGTTAATTTTGTCTCTCGTCAATAACACTTGCATTCATTTCCTCACTGAATCTATTCTGAATGCCCTGACATCCTAGGCACTAACCCTTCACTTATTACTATTCAGGACGTACAGAAATAACGGAATTCGTTTGTTGGCCGCTCCTTTACATCAAATGGTCATTTGTGATGTAGTCTGCCGAGACTCTGTAAAACAAGTCTTGTTCTCTTGTCGACTAGTTTTCACGGAGCACACCAAACAGAGTTGTACACAAACACTTTCTAGACCTCTTAGCTGTAATCAAGCCGATGAGGGGTGGAACGGTCAAAACGTTCAAAAAGTTTGGATAATATTTATCGATAATTTCGGAAAACAAGTTATTCTTGGAATGACGAATTCTTTTCGAATAATTCATCTTCAAGCTTAGAATAATAACTGGGGATGAGAAACACGATGGCCGACAACGGAAAGAAACAAAGTTACTGACTAGTTAGATTCCAAAAACGTGACAAACTAGACCGTTTCATTCCATTTTAGGCTATCTTGTGTAACTTAATGTTATTATACTGAGCTTCGGAGTGAATAATTCGACAATTTTATAAAACAACTTGTGCTTTTCGTATTAACCCATGAGCTCATTACAATTAGGTCAAACGACGAAGCATCTGTTATCATTGAAAATCACTTCTCGGAAGTCCTCGGCGGTTAGCAAACCTGTGAATCGAAACGGGATCTTACCCAGACCCATGTGAGTGGCAATAAACCAACCGCTGTTTGAAGCTGATCACATAATTTACGACCAAGGAAGAAGTCTCGAGTTAGCGGTGTTCCAGTTTTGAGAACTATGTTGTTGTTTACGCGGAGGAAAACACAATCTCTCGCATCTCTGTCACATTGTTTTTTTTCGTATCATGAAGGGGTGAATAAGAACCGGTATATATTAGAGTAATAGGCTGGCGCCTGTTTGACCTAGAACGCTAATGAGATGCATTTTCATGCTGCCCACACTCGTGTATAGTGATCCCGGGCTTCGGAGACCCGAAAAAATCAAGGGTTTTCGGTTAACCTAGAGTAAATCTTCTGAAATTAGCCTAGGTAAGTGTGAGTAATACGCCAGGTTGACCGAGTGTATTTGAAATTTCATTAACACCGCCTTGGAGTGTTATAGTTTATACTGATGGTGGTCATTGGACAACTTCTGTTTGTTCGCTGTTTTAGATGGCCTGCATGGACACAATTAGATTTGTTGGGTCTATTTTTGAGAGATTCTAGCTACCCGCATTTATGTTTCACTTCGTCGATTCCAGTTAGATCATTTCAAAGGAGGCACATTCAGCAAACAGACTAGTACCATGCTGTTCTTTTGGTTTACAAACTAAACCTTTTCCCGTTTTGAAAAAAGTAGATCTGCAAGTTCGCCATGAATTAATCGTGATTTTTGGGGCTTGGTAATTTTTCCTCACAAAAGTACATTTTATGGACATTTCAAACGTTACTTTCAAACAGTAAAATAGACTAAAGCTGCGGGTGTTCTGTATGTGTCGTAATCGGATGCTCACGCTCAAATTGCTTTTTATCCCAGCAGAGGATTTCTTTGTTTACTGTCTTCTTAGTGTGATCCAAAGTCAAGAGCCGTGAAAACCAATGTCAACAGCTTCTTGTTTCGAAAGAAGATTTCGTCTTGTAGGCGAAGCGAATTATACTGAAGGACCATGGAGTAATGCACCGATGTTTCATTCTTATTGGCGCATCTCACGGAATCCCAGGGAGTTTCGAACAAGTGACCCCTCGTATAGTAGTTGAAAAAAAATGTTCAGCTACGAGCGGCCCATCAGCAGTGTGATTAACTCACACTTAGAGAAGACGGTGTCATTTATTAATCAATCACAAAATCACATCCTCCCGGTTCGAAACTCCCTAGAGGAAACTCCCTGACGATGATTCTCCATGAGAATGAGGCAGCTCCACAGTGCTTCTTGACTCTCTAAGGTATTGACTTTAGTATGTTCACCTGGATGAAGATATATCCATTGCAACTTCTCAAATCTGCTGAAATCCCAACAAGCTTTGCGATGCCAAGATCACAAACAAGTTTGAAGTATCACTCTGAAAGTTTTCTGGGCCATGTTTTGCTGTTGCCTACGTTTCATTTCAAGGAATCGATCGTGTTAGTCTTTCAGACATGGAAACAAGTGGGAATTTCAGGCTACTACCTAACACACCTACCATCCTACTGATGGGCGTATTATCTATTGAGTCGAGTCCAGTGGTCAGAAAATGCTTTTGGTATTGCATGGGGCTTCTTTTAAGCACAACGCTGATAGCGTCTTCAAATAGGGCTTAGTTCAGTGCGACAACCGTGTACGTACGTTGGAATGGGTCGAAGCACCCTATATCAGCGTGATGCAGAAAAGCATTCCAAAACAAAAGGAAAAGAATAATGGGTTAATGAGTAGTGGGCAAGAGATTAGTACATCATTGGTTGCGTGACATTGCTAAGTCAGTGAATACCTCCAAACATTGATCTGGTAGGTCTCTAATACTCCAACCTTGCAGCCGACATGCATTTTGCAATATTTTCCATGCGTCGTATCCAAGTCTTGCGCTGTCCACCTTGTGATATCTTCCAGTCGGAACCTATCTCATCAAACAGAGCACGGCGACTCAATCGGTTATCTGGCACACCGATCAAGTGTCTCGGTCAAAGTAGTTGGTGCGGTCAAATCAACTCCACAATTGGACCAGCAGTTGACTTGTTTCCAAAAACCATTCCTTTGCACTTAAGTATTGCTCATTTGATGTCCCAATGATGCACATGCAATGTTTCCAAGGCAACAATATTCAATATTCAACGTACAATGACCAGGATTTATAGCTGTAAGGCAACACCAGATGCACCGCCGCGATTTAGATCCTGGCTTTCACCGACAGGCTAATGTCAGGTTGATCCCAGACGTGCTTGAATTAGGAGAAACTAGAATGGGCTTCAACGGTTCTAGCATTCATTTCGTCATCAACTCTGCCGTTTGATTTGATGCGACGACTCAGCTAGTTAGCTAGCTGTCCAATGTAACCAGTGATTATGATGCCATGGCAAGCTTTGGGGTCGCAGTCACGTTCGTCCAATCTTGTAGCAGCACTTTGCTTTGTACAGGCGCGCAGCGCACACCAACTTTCTTATTCTTATCCATTCAGCTCCAAGTCTCCCCAAGTGCACAATCCCCCTGAGTGTGTTGTCCTAAAGAACTTCACTAGTTTGAGCAAAATGGATAAACTATTCCGTCATAGCTTCAAATGAAGGTAAACGTGTAATCCCCACAGCTACAACAAAACATTAATCATGTGAAAGGTGAAACAAGCAGGGCGATTCACGTGCATGGAGGTCGTTTCGTAGAGTGGAGGTAGCATGGAGGCCTCATGTGACGCAAAACCGAAGTTCCAATTCCAATGTCCTTGGGGACATGCTTTGATCTTGAGCACTAATAGTAACAGAACTCGACCCCGGTGGCTTTCCTCGGGTATGCCCTGGTCAGAATACTTGTGCCAAGACAAAGAGAGGATCGTTAAAAGAACTTAGCAAATCCAGTAACTAGAACGTGGACCTTCAGGTGCAACACGGATACCTACTCATGGACTGTACAAGGAACTCGTCATCACCCGAATAAACATTGCCACATTAAAGAATTATAGTGACACACATGGCTGAGCAGATTGCGAACGTACCACCCCTGAATTAATTTCAACTTCTGGGGAAAATATCAATTTCCACGACCGCGTACATTGCGTACAATCATCAGAAAGAAACACGAAGGCGTACGCACTCGGTGAAATGTAATAAAAATTGGGAAAGTTTGTTAGACATGACAAAGTGATCAGATACTAATTTGCTTCTGTGTGAATTTCTGAAGCATATTTCGCATCCTATACGCCTTTTTCTTTAGGCGAAACAGTGTTCCGAATCTATAAATTCCCATGTCATTCATTTTCCGTAGGCAGTGACAGCCCGATGCAGTATTTTATCAGTCTTCATTTGCTACTTGTGTTATGTGCAACCTATCAAGACTAACAGTTTCAGTGCCACCAAGAAAAGGCATAAATTTAGATAGAAATCACAGCAGTAACCAAGTAAACCACTGCACGAGTAATAAGATATCAAGCACTTGGGAGTTTTTAGTAAATGACCAAAACTTACTGCATAACGCATCCGAAGGCAATACAGATAACTGCGACCAGTGCCAACCCGACAATGACCGCCACGATGGCTATAACAAAGAGGTCGTTCCCAGGAAACACCGATGTTGCAAATATGCCACGTTCTTTCACCTGGCTATCACGTGAGTCGCCATATTCACCAATGTCCATATTCACCACCTGGCTAATTGGGACGATTTTCCGGTCCGGCCCGAATCCCAGTGACCAATCAGAGGAGGTGCAAGCATTCGGGCCGGTTGCAACGGGGTGGTCGTTTTGGAAGACACAAGCACGGACAAAGGCCTGAAGCAGAAAGTCATGGAGGATTTCGCGTCACACCAAACCTTGCTTCGACTAAAGGGATGAGCACAGTAAAAACAGAGTTGTTTCTAACTACACAACCCAACAAACTGCAAGTATGCCTTATGAGATGACTAACACACAGCTGGCCTACTTTGACAAAACTTCCGCTTTTAGAAGGCCGAAAAAACTCCAGTTCTGCAAAAAAACGGTCACCTTAACCATTGATCGCCCGTGAATCCGTAAAAATGTGTGACTTTACAGGAAGCCTTGACTAGTTATTATTCGTTCACTCCCTGAGCGTGGAACAAAAAGACGTGTGTTTCCTGCTCACAACTGGCTTTGTTTTACTCATGACCAGTTTCCTGTTTGTGTACCATAAAATGCATCAATCAATCCATCTCATGAAGAGAATGAATGAATCATCTTCGAAATGTTTGATTTACTTTTCGCTCAGTTCGACAATCCTCATGCCTTTGGTTCCGGATACAGGTCTTTCAGTTTTACCGCTAGTCCGAAGAAATTCAGATGCATTCAGTTGAAGAATATCATAAACGAGAGATTCACTTGGGTCTCCCGTGAAAACCAAATTGATTTGTCGAAATTCAGATGCAGTTTCCCCACATACTTGACCAGGATCACTTTGTGCGAAAAAAAATGAAGTCGATACTGCCCGTTGGCGCTTCACCATTATATTAGGGTTCGGATACCGGTGCAATTCCTGGCTGTACCATAAATAACAGGTTGGTCAGCCTGACACACTGGCCATCTCTCTCCAGGTTGCTTTCAGTCGCGTACCTGAAATGGCAGCAGTTTCCTCCTCAGATTGTTTCAGTTTCTAGTAACCTGTGAGAAGTCTTTCAGTAAAATTTTCCCCATTAGAGTAGGGATCAACATGCTATTGCCCTAACAGCTAGCACCGGGCGGGATAAGACCACATTTGGCCTCGGCTAGTCACTGAAAGTTTCAAATCAGTTTAGACAGTTGCGTCTAAGCGGAACTTGTTTTCGTTCTGAACTAAATTACCTTAGTCAACAACTTCAAGTGAACCGGCGACTATCTGTCTTGCACACACTTGGTGTCTGACGTGTTGTTGTGTTCACCCAGATTGTACAAGCACAGACGTCAGGCTTAACATGTTCTCAGATTGCCACTTGGTTTTTTATGACGGTGTAACTATAAGTACTGTCATTTTTTCCCATAAACGTGTATGTCGTACCTCTATGTAATTATAGAAAGGATTAGGAAATGTTAACCGATCTGAATAACAACATTTTCACCTGTAATTTAGGTAAAAAATTTATTTAAGTGAAATTTTACAAGTACAGCTTGGAGATTCACATCAACCACACGTGTGTTACTTTCCGTATAGTGTCATCTATTGACTTTGTGACGGGTAGATTTTTCTTCGCTGATGTTGAAATCCCATGTAACAGTCCTGTGTTCAGAAGGTGCAAAAATTCTTGATAAAGTATCGCGGTATGAAAACGGTGATATGTTCGAGTTAGTTCCAAGAGAAGTAAAGGTTGATTCGACTGCTAGAAGATGACTGGATCGTTTTTCGGTCACTTGTCATTGAGGAGGATACAAAGATAATCAAGAGTCTTTGGAAATGTTGCATTCGATTTCAGAAAAACTGGCCTATTGAGGCAAAATGCATTCACTGTACCCATCCCTTGAACGAAGAAAGATAGGTAACGATGTTTGTTTTGTGGGAATTTGATGTTGTTGCTCCAAATAGCAGGCATTTCGCAAACGTACGTATTTCTTTCGAGTGCAGACTTTGAGATAGCATAACTTTAAGAGCGGAGGAACCAACCGCTCTATGCTTATCTCATGTGTCTTAATATATGCACTGGTTGTCATGTCCATCTTTCGGAACTTACTGGGTGTGCTATGTTTCTACTGGAGTCAAAAACCCAATTAATTGTTAGCGATTTGGGTCTGAGTTGTGTGTGCTCCATGGTTGTTTTGGTCAACTGACCCATTAGAAAGCCCCTTCGTTTTAAGAAGACAACTGGGTACGAGGGTATGCACGTAATATATTCATACTACAATCTGTAGCATCTTTAAATAAAGACTTATTCTAACCTCCACATATTGGTCTACTCTGACGGTCAGATAAGATGAAGACACTAATCGAATGTGCTACCCAAACTTGCCAACTCACCTTGTATTCCTGACCATCAACAAGAACCTTGTTGTCAAAGTTCACTTCGGCATCCATTCCTAGCGAAAATGGGTCCGTTATTTGCGGACTACTCCGCCTGTCGCGCAGCACTGCTTTGGTGTTGGACGGCGTGTCACGCGTGTGACGCATAAGCGGAGTGATTGCAATCAAAGCACCAAGAGTAAAATTCCGTGCACGCCGTGGTGGGGGGTCGAAGTAGTCTTGCTGATATCTGGCTGCTACGTACCTGGTCCCAGAACTTGGCAAACCTCGCGAAGTTGTGATGGTCTGCGAAGGGATAGGATTGAGAGGGAACATAGTTTGCCAGTGGAACTACTCAAGGTATTTTTGATCACTTATTGATCCAGTCAGAAACGCTACTTTGGCCTGGTAACAACGAGTATATGGCAAGGGGCAGAGAGAATCTAGAAAACCTCAACCGTAGGAGCCTGTTCGTCCTTAAAAAGCTCGGTAGACCGTGTGACACTTTAATAAACAGTTTTGGGTCATTACTTCATGAACCAACCGTTCATTGCCTAATTTGCGCGACCAGTAAATTGGATTTCTACGTCTTATTTTCGATCTAATCAGCTGTCGAGTGATTCAGACAGTTAGCCAACTACTAGTGCATAGTCAGAAATATCTGTTGGTTCTCCCCGAGGATCGGCGACAATTCACATTAGATTGCCTAGCCCTTCATTAGCAGCTAGACACAGTCTGAATGGGCTATCGGGTTTTCAGGCCAAGAACCACGCTTAGAAAGCGGTGAGCTCACTTCTTCTTTGCTCAGTAGATCATATAGTTGGCTAACCGATTCATGTGTTTTCGTCACAAAATGCAGCTACAAGAGCAAAACACACATTCACCATACCGTTACAGTGCTCCCTTCAAAAAAATTCTGATGACACATGAAATCGTCAACCCAAGTGACAACCATCAAGAATCGCAGCTGTACTCAACCACACCACACGATCCGTTTCTAGAATCAAGCCAAAAATAACTTTGCCAGCCTTATGGGTTAAACGGAGCTAGTATAACGCTGTTTTCGAGAAAGTTTGGTGACAGTCGGCAGATTTATTGCTGTGTGACACTTTTTGTTTTACCAACAGAATCAAAGATTTGAAGATTTTAGGCATTCATCGGAAACTATACATTATATGGCATAGGTCACTACTGTCCAGCGCCTGCTCTTCTAAGTGAACTGATCTGATGATGAACACTGAATGTAGCATCCTTCTGGAAACCAACTTTTATGCGCAATGAAATGCCCAAACTAAGATTTGGAGAAGCTGGAATCACCTAGAAATGGGCTACGAAGAAACGGATGTTTAGGCAGGTTCCTTAAGGTGTGCAAAAAATCCAAACATCCAAAAAATCTGCTCATGCCTGTATTAAGAATCGGTTTGTCTATGCTTACTTTTCAAAGGTTATATGAACAGTGAAATGTCAGAATCATATTTGAAGAAGCCCTGTTCATTGCACTTCTGAAAACGTTTTTTAAACTGTCTACCTTTTTGATCAGAATTGAACAGTCTGTGCAAATTTACTAGACGAATACCTAAAAACTTTAAAACCTGTTCGAACGACGGTAACAAACTTAGCGATTCCATCTGGAACCAGAAATTTCGTCAATGAAAAAGAGAGCTATGAGGCCACCCAGAATTCGTCCATATCTCCGAATCCTCTCAACCTACAATTCCAAAATTAAAGTGGATTGCCTCAACCCAAAATAACTACTGGGTATACATGGAGTTTTGATAATAACAGTATACAGCCCTAGTGATATCCTTCAACATGCTTCGAGTTTGTCAACCGCTGCTGTAACCAGGACAAACAAGGGCGCCGTTTTGGACAGAACAACCTTTCCTGAGTGTTTCCCAATAAGAAATTTGCGTACAGAATACGAGCCGCAACTTTTACGCTTATGTATACCATATCATCAGCAACAGGTGCTATCCACGAGCTGGATATGCTTTGCAGAGTAACTTACCGACAGTTCATCCGAATCGCTTAAAAATGGTACAAGAGTAATCACAGCTGAGGCCTGAAAACGGCAAGGCTTTGACGCACAAATGTGCGAAAAGTAACCTGCTGAAATTAAGTGATAATTGTAAGCCTTCCGGTTAATTCATCAGCATACTACTTGCAAAAGATTGAGTGGAATCGAGATAAAGGTGCTTGGGCGAGCAGAGAGTTTTATGAGCACCGCATCGACTCATTTAACGAGTTGATGTTGACCAAAGCTCTAAATCTCACTATAACTACCGGACGAGTTCGAAAAAATGTACTAATCTACCTAAGTAGCAACATAGAAGTTTTCTTACTTGAGTAACATATCTCAGCACAAAAGACTTGAGTGGACTGACTAACACATAACTTGGAGGTCCAAATTGGAAAAATGGCATTCAGTCAAGTCATAGATTGTTGTCCTCGTAGTTCAAATGACGTGGCGTGTTACTGGCGTTACCGGGGCCTACTATCTGCACAATGCTCTCAGCTGCAAAACCTTCACGAGTGTAGTAAAACTTCCCCCGTCAAAATGTTGCATTCTGTTGCGTATGTGCTCAAACCAAAAAGCGTACTAATCTGCATCCATAGTTTTGCACCTCACTGAATTTCATTGTTCTCTGAAGCAACCAAGCCTCTGGGTGAATTCTTCTGGGATAATATCCCAGCATCGTCAAGACCCCGGGATGCCTAAATGGGGCTTATAAGTTTGGACTGATACTCCCAATTCAATTGCTCCATTGCTTTAATCCATCAGGTACACGTCATAACTTTCGGAAATTCAATTCCATTGTGCGAATACTGAGCCCCGGTATTACCTCAGAAAATAGGTAAGTTTGCAATGCCCACACAGTGGTCCATGAGGAGATGTCTGCCTCCATCTAGGTAATGTTGGCAGATTCCAGCGGGATTTCACCCTCCGATAGCGCGGCCCTACACGCTGCCTACTTAGATAGATTGTGATTTCCCCACCATAGAATAGAACTGGATTTGAAACAGAATGAATTAGATCGGCACGTACGAGGGCGTCTTTTTGGACCTTCGATGACTCAAAGGCGCAATTTGCATATTATTTGCAAAAATTAGATGGATACTTTACACAAAAGTGATGTATTTTGGGAATGAAGAAAAAACATTTTGTTTTATTGTCAAGCAGTGAGTTCTGCACGTAATTCGTCTCAGTTACAATGGCACAAAATTCGCACATCACAGTGTCATAAATTCTTGGGTGAACATTGAGGATGCAGGCTTGGGTGAAACTCACTCAAATTTTGAAGATAGTATAAATCCTATAAAATGGTGAAAAATAATATAAAAATAACGACCCACTGAAGAGTTAAGTTTGCTCTATACGAATGTATCCAGAATCAACCCATATAAATTCATCTGATCAGCTAGTTTAGTGATGTAAGTAAATGAACTCCGGTTATTTTTTGGGCACCGAATATTCCTCTGCCAGACTGTGACATATTTTATTGACTTTTTTGATGAATTTATATGTTGAATTCCACGGAAGAGATATCAGATAGGGTTTCATCAATTACACCTTGAGAGTACTCTCAAATAATCTTGTATATTTTAATCGAAATTCTTCCGGAACGAAGGAAATCATCTTCGGAACGTTCATCTTCGTTTAGAACAGTGCGACTGCGATGAATTTTTCTTGTAGACCTATCAGGGCAATCTAACGTTTTTGCAACTCGTTGTCGTGGAACATTGGACCGAAATTGAAGTTTATTTGGCGTGTGCAACTTTCCTAATCGAACGAGTCCAGTTCATGCTTGTGAGGGATGTCCCCTGAAATAGGATTCTTTCTCAACTTTGCATGGATATGATCAGCGGTGACTGACAACCGAACGCTTTTAGAGTCCTAATGATAAACTTTGCTTCGTAAAATGCTGCGCTGTTCCCAATTAAGAACGCATTTTTTGAGCGTACTGAAATTTTGGCGCAGTCTTTTTCAGTAGTGTACAAGCGTTTTGTCGCCTAGCAATTCGTGCCTTTTACCTACGCGGGATATATTTCCCGTCATGTTTAGAAGTAGTATGACTTGATTTGGTGCGGCGTAGGCGTATTGTATTCCCCGTTAGACGTCCATAATTTTATGGTGAGGATGCAACATCCATAAACTCTCTCTAGAGTTTAAGGTTCCCGATAAGGATAAAACGATTGCTAGGTCCCTGTTTTCTGTATAGACTGAGTTGGTCTTGTTAGTTAAGTCTACAGTATAGGTCTTTTTATTCACATGGCAGGAAAGTTCTTTCGCCACTCTCCCTACAGCAATACAATCTCTCAATACAATATCGAAACTGAGAAGATGAACTTTGTTTAAAAAAAACTAGGCATCCATTGGGATCAAGAAGATCAAACTCATTTTCCACAAAACGGTGACAGGATATTTGATTTTTCATAATTGTGGTCCAAGTCAAAACATGATGAGCAATCGTCAACTCCACCTATCTAGCTGAGCTAAAAGACAGGGAGAGTTTTCCCAAACGAAGCATTGGCAACAATACAGTACGTTGTATTCTGATGCCCCAACTGATGTGACAGTCTGAATTCGGAAACTGAAATACTATCTATGAATTGCCACCGCGGTACTTCCGTGATTAAAAATTCACCTATCGATAATTTCGTTGGGGGATTATTAGAAAAAGCTGCGTTGTATGTTTAGCGTTTAGTTATTTTCATGTTTCATTTGAAAAACCGTTGATGACAATTCTGTTTTTGAGCGAAAAATTTCGCACGATGAGCATAACCAGTGAACTGTAGGGTGTGGCCACACGCACTACAGAATAGATAAGCTACTTTAATTGCGTGTTCGAACATGCACAACCCATATTCAAATATCTCGAGAAAAAAGAGAAGTGGATTGAATTTTTTAACTAAATTTCAGTAAAATGCCTCTGGCAAAAAACAATACCTGAATGGTGAACGAAAAACAGCGGTGAGACCTTCGATTTTCAGCCGTAATAATTTTTTTCATCAATCAAATTGCTTTACTCGGTGAGATCCCTGCTTTTCTTGTCCCGTTATTTTGGAGCTCATCATTCTTTTAGGTAGATCACCAGTTGTACTTGTACTATGTTAGAGACGGTGCAGGATTCATAGTCTTAGGCGGTTTTCAATCGAGGTAGAGTTAGCAGTTTTCCAAACTATTCTAAACACAATCCGATGCAGAAGCAGAAAACGGATGACTGACACACTGCGTTGCGAGAACAACAATGTGAAAGAACAATTTTTCTTTGGATTGCTTGAAAACTTGCATAATCTTTACCAGG